TGTGCATAAGGTAAATGCAACAGTGTCATAGCGAAACGAAAGGGATATACGTACCAGGTACAAAGTCGAGTCGGTTGTCTTCCCGCAAAAGTGGCTTCTTATGCAGGTACAAGCACCTCAAAACAAGAGGCGTCTGCCCTACCCGGCCGCTGTGAGCCAATGGACAGCGTGTGGCTTTTTAGGGGGCGTGAGGTGTGAGTTGTGAAAGATTGCGCGAGTCAAGTGGGGGCTATGTACCAGGTTGTGCTTGACAGGACAGGATATGTATGTATTGACAAGGAGTATGTAATCCACCGTGGCTGAGAAAGACAAAGAAACCAAAAAAGAAAGAAAGTGACATAAAAAGCAAACAACACAGCATCATCATCATCATTAATTGGGCTTGGGAAGGGATGACATTATTTATTGCTCAGTTACATTCGGGAGATTCCCGGAGATCTAGATTTTGCTCTGGTTTGGTGATCATCATTCAATGGAGGACGGCACAGCATATCCTCTCTGAATGTTACTGAGGAGTCGCTGTTCCGCTCTGCTAACAAAAGATATCAAGCATATCCTTGCCAGGACAGAGCCACGAATTCCACAAGGGGGTTTTGATTTAAGCATGCGAGAGATGGACGATTGGTAACAACGGTACCGAGTATTTCGACTAACGTATGTAGGCAGTCCTTAGAATCCAATGCAGTCAGTTGGTTGCAGTTACAATGATAGATGACTGGTCAGCTGCAACACAGTCCTCGGCAGTTGTGTTTTACCAACCAAATAAACCTTTTGTTTCGAAATCTACTAGTTGATTGAGTTGAGTCCAGTCTATCTCCAGCGAACTCTTTATCTGGCAACGCTAATAATAGTGACGTGACCAGTCAAAGAAAGGTAGGATCAGATGATAATCCCGATTCTACTGACGTGTCCTCGAATTGTTAGACTGGATAATAGTCGCGAACGGACTCTTCACTTAGGTACCTACACCCAATTGTCTCTCTTAAGGTTCCTTTGGACCTTATCGAGTTGTCCAAACTCAGCCGGGTTTAGTGAGGAAAGAACGAGGCGGACCGAACTGAGCTGGATGGACCCCTCCTACCTACCTATACTTGCCCTCTTAAGAGCGGGGATACCCTCGCTTCTCTTTTCTTCTTTACATCCAACTTTTCTTCTGCTTTTACGGATCAGCTTTACATACTCTACAGTGCAGTAACGCAATCGACTCTAGTAGACCAAAAGCGTGGAGGCGCTTCCGCACTGACAACCATGATTCGTTTCTTTCTGTCATTGTCACGATTTAGCGGCATTTCTGCTTCATCCGAATTCTCCAGCCAATTGCGGCGCCCCGCCTGACTTGCTCATGAACCATCACCAACAATTGCCCCTCCAGCATCGAGCTCGACTTGGCCGATGCCTAACATAGCATCAAAAAAGCGCAAGATTATCGCTCTCTTCATGTCGCCCTACCCAATATCAGCCCAATCCCTCGATCACGTACTCACTCGCCACAGTCATGGAAGGATTTGGGGCTTGAGCCTTTGAGGTCCAACGGCTGTGAACGCCCCAACGTCGATCACGTTGCCCCTCGCTGATGCGATGCAACTCAGTCCAAATGAGGCTGAAACATTATTGTCGAATCGTAGCTGACGCTCTGACACGGCAACTTCTTTTAATGGGGAAACGGATTGCAACAACAGGAAACATCTCGAGAGATGCATAAATGCCCTCACGTTTGAGCCCAATGACATCGACGCCTAATTAAAACACCGCCCTTTTGACGTTGACTTTACACGCTGTACTATTGCTTGCAGGAGGCGAGAATTGGGCCGTTTGATGTCTGCCATCCATCCGTCTCCCAGACCGCCCCAGTTCAGCATATCAAGTATCATACATCGGGCATCAACTCGCCTCCATCATTCGCATCATCTGACTGCTCGATGCATCCATTCCCAAGTAGCTAGACTTGGCCGGGCCTAACCTAATTGACCCCTTCTGGACCACGGCGCTTCCAAGTCTCGCCGTGTCTTCCAGCTGGTGTAGTCCTTCTGTTCCGTCTGTTCCGCTGCAGGCAGCGGACGAAAACAACCGACAGTTTCTGTCAAGCTCAACTCCACATACTTCGCCTGACCGCTGAATCGTTGGGCATTAGCTCACCCTCTGGTCTCCCTCGAGCAGCTTTCTTTTCTTGGCTACCGATGCCTGAAGTCAGCTGGACAATTGGCGAACAAAAGAAAACACCATAAACACTATCCATGTAATTCATTGACTGCGCCGTATTGCTGGCGTGCCTGTGCCGCAATTTGTGGGGGTTAGTTGTGTTTGGTGTTCCAGCTGAGCGGATGCTGGTAACCAATAGGCGAATTTGACAGACTGTTCAACAGAGTGATTCCTCAGCTGCTTTGGGGTTTGTCTCGAGAGCTGAGACCGCGGCTGAGCTATGCATACACAAATACAATCCTGACGTGCGTCGTTCTCCAAGAATGGAGACGCAAAAGTGTCAAAAGACATGTCTAAGATGCCTCCCTCGTCGATCACGCCAATAATGCCATCTAGTGTGGCGCGACTATTGTCGCTAACTAACCAGCGGTATCAGATCTGATCGGCTCAATACTTACACACCGTCTACATTTGGCGACAAATCACGAATCAAATCCCGGCATTTGTCTCCCGCGATTCGTCTATCGGATTTCTAACGCCCCCTAACACCAACAGGGACGTCTGTTCGCCGTCCCAGCCAGCCGGAAATTCGACGACACTAAAATCCGAATATGACAGGTCATTTTATACCAACCTCGACTTACACCCCTCTGCTTCCTGGAGATAACAAAGGGAGATTTGACGAGGGAACAAACGAAACCAAACTAGACAATTGTCTAACTAGTCCAACAAAACAAAACGACCTAGCCTACTTTGAATATTCAAGATATATCCATGTTCCTCTAGAGATAGGGTTACATCCTGATCGACAACCGAGACTAATCCCCAGCGAAACAATTTTGTTTCGTTAGCCTCATCATTATGACAACCCAATACCTGAGCAACTCGCATTGAAAGGCTGCATGCTGTTCGAGACATGCAGCTAAGGTTTCGTGCAACGTCGAGTCAGCTGCCGAGGGCTTGTTTGTGCGCCCGTATCTTGAGGTGTGATGAGCTTGTCATGGATGCAAGCAAGCCTCCAGACATGGATCCTCATGCCCCGGATCTTCACCAGCCGTGCTACAATACCGATTCTCCGGTCACCCCGGTCCCGGTATCCTGATAGCTCCCGAGATTTCTGGGGGCGTTGTGAGACATGGAATCCTTTTCTTGGAAAGGGTTGTTATAACAAGCCATCTATAGCATTCTTGACACTTTTGAGGCCAGACACATCAGCAAGTGAAACGCGAAACCCGACAATTATCGGCATACATGTTGGATTTCATCCCATCGACGTCCGAGACGTGGGGGCGCTGCTGCGGTTCATGATGCAGCCCCGACCCGACGCCGGGGATCGACCGGCAACGACCGCTATGACTCGGGGCTAAAACATGAGGAACTCGATGTCACTCAAGAGGGTGTGTCGTTGGATTGGGCATGATGCACATGATGCGCCCTGTCTCACCACCGGGGATTTCCAAACAGAGGAACATCAAGACTTGAATTTGGCAAGTATAACCTACTTCTGAACTTTGCCCCCATGAGCGTTGCATAGCCTTGTTTCCTCATGGCCTCTGCAAGCCCTGCCATGTTCTGCGAAAACGAACATCAGCCTCGTCAAAGCTACGAGGCGCATGCTTTGAGTTTCATTCAAGACGTGCGGCCCCTGTAAAGTATGTATATGGTTGGACGATGTTGAAGACGTCCGAGCATACCGAAAAAGGGGCCTCAGCCACGCGTTCGGTGCGGCTTTATTTCCGACATAGCCGTTGCGGCACGTTTATCTTAATCGTATTCAGAGTGTCGTCAAATGTTAGAGTTTGCTGATGTAATTATCTTGTAAGAATGCGCCCTGAGCGAGAGCATATTCCGCCTCCCGGCTGAATGGACGTTGCACGGCCGCTTAAAGGCAATAGACGACAGGTTTTTGCAACTCTGGCATCTCTCCAAACTTTGAAATCATAAAGTAACGGTCATGTTAGAGACCAATAGTAGATTGGGTCTCGTTCATGGACGCAGGGTAACACGGATTTGTGGAGTGGTATGACTTCCCGTACAAGACTTGGTCGCACACTCTCATTGACACTGATACCTAGATGATTCAAAGAATATCAGAAAAAGATCTCACGGTCGGCCTGCTACAGACCGTTATTACCACCAAGCTGAGCATGATAAAGTGACATTGCGTTGATGAGCATCATGCACGAACTGTCCGAATCCAGGCTGTGAACCAGGAATACATCAGTCTTTGCCAATGGTCTTTTTGTATGAGTTTAATATTAGTAGACTCTATCACGCTGGGCGAGTAGTCAAGAAAACCCGTAAAGCTATAATTCATTAGAGCGGGGATGAACTGTTGAATTCAATAATGATCGAATGAACGAGCTGAAGATGAAGATGAAGGCGAAGAAGCGAATCATTCATGCCTTTAGGCCTCGAGTTCACACTGATACTAGCCCCATATCAACCGCTGCTTCTGTCTTCGTCTTGGAGGCGGATAAAGTCAAGACGGTCGCCATGCAAATTGTAGGCATTGGGAGTTTCAGCGAGCTGCAGAAACCCCCATGGCGTTTATCTGCGAGCTGCCATGCCGGCCCAGAACTCCTTGAGCTGAAAAGATATCATACCGAGGCGAGCATTCGAATATACTAGATTATCAGCTTCGTCATAAGCTGAGCAGGGCAACACAAGTCTGTCAGTCAACAAAACAGAATGCGTGAATTCATGATCATAATGATGTTTAGATTCGCTAGGTGTTCCAACCCCATCTTCCTCATCCATTTCCACCAGTAGCCCTCGTAGGATTATGGACCGTGTAAGTCCATGGCAATGATGAAACCTGTACTCCCCTACCCTGTATGCACCCTTTTATGTGCGATCGCTTAGAACTGGTCTGTAATGTCATGTCAGCGTCTGATAAACCAATCTAGTCCCAGTTGCCAATCATGACGGCATAACTCATCGCCGAAACAGACACAACTATAGCTTCAAATAACTTACCGACAGTCATGCTCATACTGATGTCAGTGGACTCAACCATCTTGGTGAACTCCTCGAAGCTAATCTTGCCGTCCTTGTCGAGATCGGCCTCCATGATAGTTTTGTCCACAATCTGCTGCAGCTGCTGATCCTTAAGGTTGCTGCCGACCATCATCTTGAGGACAATGAATAGCTCTCCGTTGCTGATATAGCCGTCACGGTCAATGTCGTAGACCTTGAAGGCGAACTGCAGCTTCTGTTCCTTGTTTCCCTTGGCGCTGAAAGCTGAGAGACCTGTAACGAATTCTTGGAAATCGACGTCACCACCACCATCTTCGTCGAAAATGGCGATCATTCTGTTGCAGCTGAGTTAGCTAATTGGCGAGAGGTATGGAGAAGCTTGGACGGACCGTGTTGCCAGAGGGTTGGAGGAGATCTGGGGAAGACTGAGGAATTCATCGCGTTCGATCGTACCGGAGTTGTCCTAGAATGTCCCAAGTCAGCTCTCGATGTCCATTATGCTTGTGACAGTCCCAGCCATGCGCATCATCCGACATGACAAAGAACCAAAAAGTCGGAAAGCTTGCGCACCTTGTCCAGCTTCATGAATCGCTTTCGCAGACGATCAACTTCATCTCTGTCGACTAGTAACCGTACATCTCAGTATATGTTTCACTCCATCACCCCTCCCCAACCGTGCGTTCGTGTTGAGGGGTCAGGGCTTCCAAGGGGCCAGGGCAAGGCTCACAGTTGGATCCTTGGACGAGGTTGTCCAGGACTGCGCTGGTGGTGTTGCCCATTTTGGCAACGTAGAGATATGTCGTGGATTTGAGTGCGGGTGTTTGTTTCGGGGGGAATTAAGTTGTGGCGAAGCGGCGTGGGTGGGTTATAAATAAGCTGTATTGTGCTGTTGTCCAAATGTTGGTGATAAGGCTGAAGTGAGGTCTCACTGTCACTATCGCTAAGTTTAGGTAATTCTAGACCGATCTTTTGCGCAAAGGGGCAAGTGCGCAGAGGGGTAATTACTTTGCGGGGCGACCACCTCAAGAAAGTAGGACCTCCCGCTTCTTGCAAGCACGACTTCCGTTATCCTTACGGTGCGCCTTCCATGTTGATTTGTGTTACGGTCAGCAATTGAAACTTGGATTAATTGGAGGCACAATCAAAGATTACAGTTTATCTAGGACAAATGCTCATATCAGAGGATACATGAAGACATAAAAATGATGAAATTCGAGAAATATTTATATGAGTTTCAACATGAAAGCTTACAGCACCTACCGTTTTGTCAGAGACCGTCTGATACGTGGTTGTCGAGCCAGCAACAAAACGTTCCTACTTTTCAGTGCTTACCTCACTAGAAGCAAGCGCTATTTCGGGGCACCTACCACTAAAATGCGCGCTCCCAGCAAAACAAACCATAAGCTTCCGTACCAAACGGAAGGAAAGTGCAGCCCCAAAAAAAAGGAGGCACTGGTCCAAGCGTCATAAGTATCTCGCCCGCAAAGACACCGTGGGGAGTGACCTCGACCCCTCCCATCAGCACACCGTCATCAAACTCTACCGTTCTCTCTCTAGCCATTCATTGACTCTCCCTTGCCAAAAACTCCGGGCAGCAGCAGAGAAAAATCTTTATGCGCCAAAACAAACCCCAACGTCACCCCATCGAGCCCGACCAAGCTGCCATCGAAAAAGACTACAACACCACCTTTTTCATTAATTCTTTGTCGAAAATCAACTCGAAAGTACTTGTTTTATGACTTGATCGCTTTTTTTCGCGGTTTTTCCGCCGCCTGACCGCCTCTCTCTCCTACTTCCCTCCAACCCCCTGGCATCATGTCATCACGCAAAGTCCGCGTCAAGAAGTTGAACGTCAAGACGACGCTTCCAGTTCTTCGCGAAGACCAGATCGATCCGAACGAGTATGAAGCTTTAACGACCGACAACCAAATCGCGACCGGTGTCGAGCAGGCCGAGGAAAATGTGAGTCATCTCTTTGTTCTGCCACATATCGTGATATCACGTGTTTGTTCACGTGATTTGTTTCATCACCCCATCCCTGTCCTGCTGTGATTGGATGGTACTATCATCCAACAACAAGCAGTCCATTTGCTGGCCTCGACCTCATACTAACCTTCTCAATAGGAATACCATCTTCAAACTATTCTCAAGGAGGCAGGAACCAGCAATGACCAAGAAATCCCTGTTCCGCCTCCCCAGGAGAGCGACATCAACTATGACGAGCTCTATCCTGTCCCTTTCCATAAACCCTCTTCTTACATCCGTTTTTCACAAACAGTTGAGGAGTGTATATCGTGTCTCTATGACATGACCACAGAGGACGATGAGTTCCTCAAACAGTATAATAGTAAACCACCCGGTGCCGGGGCCCTCTCTGAGGATGACTTTGAACGCATCATGGAGGTGTTTGAAGACACGGCAGCGGAGCAGACACCATTTGCAGCAGTCGACAATACCGTTGCCGCCTATGACATGATGGTCCCTGCACTCCACGAACTTGGGTCGCCGGCAATCCTCCAACACGCCAAGCCTGTGTACGAATACTGGAAGTCAAGGCGACAGGAGGCTGGCAATAAGCCATTGCATCCCACTCTCAAGTTTGAGACTCATCAGGAGACTGATGACACAGACCCCTTCGTTTGTTTCAGACGACGCGAGGCTCGCCAGACTCGAAAGACCAGAGCTCGTGACAACAAAATTGCAGAAACACTCAAGAAGTTGCGACGAGAACTTGAGGATGGCCGGCAATTGGTACTTGTTGCATATGAACGTGAAATGTTGAAGCGAGAGCTCATGTCGATGGACCGCGCTCTGTTTGAAGAAAGGGCAAGACTCAAGGAGACCAAACTTCGGCTGGGCATCAAAGGCGAGGACGAGGATCTCGTCAATCAAAAGGTACGCCAAGCCAATACTCGCAATGCGAGACTGTTCCGCTCCTTGTATGCTAACTCGCTTTGTAGCCTCAGAAACGCAAGCCTGCAGAGCCCCCAGTCATCCGACAGCCAACCGGTGCTCACTTGCGACAACCTGTACGGTCTGATGGAAGAACACTTGATGCTGACCTTGTCTTGTTATCAGACAAGCTGGCAGAGAAGGAGAATGAACTTCGACTTGACATAGAAATGAAGGTTCAGAACCACCGGAAGTGGAACCATAACCATATTGACCTAACTGGGGAGCCGCTGTCGCCAGTCAAGGAACAGGGCACAGAAGTCAAGTTCCGACAAGCGAAGACGCAGTACTTGATGACACCCCCTGCATCCACATCTTCAGAAATGGAAGTGGACACACACATACCTGATGCCCCGCAAGTGGACAAACGTGAGGCACCTGTCTTCCAGTTTTCCGCTGGATCAAACGAGCCTTCCAAGGGTAGCCAACCTTCGTTCCGTCGACGTATTGGTCGACTGAACCGATTGTGGATTGATCGAAGAGGCATGGTGACGCCACCGCCAGAACATGGTGAGAAGTCGGATCGGTGGAGATACGACTCGGATTCAGATGACGATGAGCCACCCGTATATGAGGTTGATCCATTTGATACCCGAGCATTGAAGTTCCGGGCAACAATTCCGTTGAACCCGTACATGTTTCGAGGACGCCCAGCAGTACCACCAGATGCCGTGGTAGCAGCTCAAGCACAGGCAGGTAACAGGGTACTGCCATCGCCAGCAGCAGCACAAGCGGCGGCGCATGCGCATGCTCAAGCCCACGCTCAAGCAGCAGCACAAGCACATCTGGCTATGAAAGCGCAAGCTAAAGCGGCTGCGGTTGCACAAGCACAAGCTCAAGCAGCACAGACGGTGCAGTAAGCGTACCGTGGACAGTGGATTGTATGAATATGGTGGATGTTTGTTTTATACCCCAGAAATATTGACAGAACGGACGGCGGACTGCTGGGCAAAGTCGATGGGCCCTCGGTAGACAGATGGGGCGTCGTGTATTATTTAGTCGTTGGCCAGGGCATTGCAAGGAGTTTCGGAGCGGGTGGTGGGTATTCGGGTTTTGGAGTGAAAGAACATTCTGCGGCCCAGGTCGAGATAAAATGAAAAAAGAACCACGGTCGACTTTTAGACCACAAAGATGATGCTGCCTCTTCCTAAGAGTCGTGAATCGTATGTCTTTGCCGTAGCCGGAGAGATCATCGTTGCGTCGTGAGGTGATCATGCGCTGTCATGTTGGAGGCTGAGGGGAAGCTCTGTATCATCGGGATCTGATATACCGACGACAGCGAGTGCGAACTCGATGATAGAATTGTAGAGGCTAGGCTACCAGAAGTAACAGAGAGAGTGTATCGCCGTATTGACTGTGTCGTAGAAGGAGAGATGTTGCATGATCATGGTGCGGTGCTGTAAAAGGTGACCAAGCTTAGATGAGAGGACCAGGCTGATAGGGATGTCATATTAGCAGGGGCCACGTAAAAGTAGAAGCAAGAAAGAAATCGAAACAAAGAGCAATATACCTGCCAGTGTCATGAAGAGAAGCGTATGCGCCCTGGGATAGTGATTTAATGGTATGAGACAGTGGGAAAAAGCTGTCGAGTGCGAAATGCGAGTGATAGAGGAGGCTTTAGAGTGGAGGGCGGGCTGCGGGTGAAGGAAAAGTGGCCGGCGAACCGGGTGTTGTGGATTTACACATCTTTTAGCCACAGTAGAAGCTTTTTATGGAGACAACGTGGCTGGTGCTAAAGAGAAGAAAAAAAAAGATATAGAAAAAAAACTTGCATGATCTAAAGTAGCTCATATGATGATAGTGTGAAGATGTTTGATCTGATACTCTTGGTACTTACTGCTAATGCATTCTTTGTAATTCAGTTCTCACACAGTTGTATATCCTCTTTTGTTGATCACCACTACGTATTCCCGTATGTAAAAAAAAGATCTGCCCTCGTTACGGAGTTTTATGTACCGTTGCTGTTCACGGTTTAGCTGGACCCTGAAAATTGTAAATCGGAGCCTCCCGTCCGCTACGGAAACGAGAGAGACTGTGGCTGGTGATGACGCCTGGTGCCCGTTGGAACACTCAGTGTGGGATGGATATAATTACAGGGGACTACCTAAGCGAGGGGCTTTACAAACCTGCCCTTGTTCCCAGTGAAGCCTGGCTGAGATCAGATCTGCCCCTCTATCGAATAGACGTCTACTTATTGCTATCTTGACATGACTGAGTCAACGTTTGCGGGTACTTTGAAGTATCAGTAGTTTCAATGAATAATATACTATTTCTAAGTCCTCCTGTGTCTGTTAAAAATTCTCATAGTAAAGTTGACAACGTCCATCTAGCTTGGGTAGCCAGTGACATCAACACCATTATCTCGATACCCCCACCTTTAAACTTCCCATCTTCAACCTCACATACAAAATGGCCTTCAAAGACAAATCCTCCTATATCGCCCTCGGCTGCGAAGGCTCCGCCAACAAACTCGGAATAGGCGTCATTCTTCACACCCCCACCGAGACAAAAATCCTCTCCAACCTGCGCGACACCTTCGTATCTCCCCCAGGAACAGGCTTCCTCCCCAAAGACACAGCAGCCCACCACCGCGCCCACTTCGTCCGTCTCGCACGCGAAGCCCTCGCCGAAGCGAAAATCACCCCCAAAGATGTCGATTGTATCTGCTACACAAAAGGCCCGGGTATGGGCGCACCGCTGAACTCTGTCGCTGTTGCGGCTAGAGCATTGAGTTTACTCTGGGATAGACCCCTTGTTGGCGTGAATCATTGCGTGGGACATATCGAGATGGGGAGGTATATCACTGGCGCTGATAACCCGGTTGTGCTATACGTTTCGGGTGGTAATTCGCAGGTGATTGCGTATGCCGAGCAGCGATACAGGATATTTGGCGAAACACTTGATATAGCAGTTGGAAACTGTCTCGATCGATTCGCTCGCACGTTGGAAATCAGCAACGATCCCGCACCAGGATATAATATCGAACAACTTGCCAAGAAGGGGAGCAAGCTCCTCGATATTCCCTACGCAGTCAAGGGCATGGACTGTTCGTTCTCTGGAATTCTAGCCTCAGCGGATGCACTCGCTGCACAGATGAAGGCCGGCGCGGACTTCACACCAGAAGATTTATGCTTCTCACTGCAAGAGACGGTATTCGCAATGTTGGTCGAGATCACAGAGCGAGCTATGGCGCATGTTGGGTCATCACAGGTCCTCATCGTGGGAGGCGTGGGCTGTAACGAGAGGTTGCAGGAGATGATGGGACATATGGCAAGAGAGCGAGGAGGATCGGTTTATGCTACTGATGAGAGATTCTGCATTGATAACGGGATCATGATTGCGCATGCTGGTTTGTTGGCGTATGAGACAGGATTTAGGACGTCTTTGGAGGAGAGTACATGTACACAGAGATTCAGAACTGATGAGGTCTTTATCAAATGGAGAGACTAAACTCTTTAGTAAATAATAAAAAAGAACAGGATCACAAGAAGTTGTCATGGTTAAATATGTTTATGTGTATTTGCTGAAGCTGATCCATGAGCTTTCTCGCATCAGCTTCATCATGTCGTCAAGAAGTCTTGACATCCCTCGTTATTCTCAGCTCATGTCGCCATCACTATGTAACTCATCACCGCTGCTCCTCCATCAAAACTAAGAATACTAGACAGCCAATCCTTGTTTATCTCCCAGACCTCTAATACATAGCAAGCATTCAACATCACATCGTAACTCGAGCCCGCATGTCTGAAAGCAGGCCCAAGGCATGGGGTTTCTCACTCATGACCCAATCATTATCTTCGTCCATCATGTCTTATCAATCATCTGAGGATGTGGGCTTGTAGACGATTGTTGTGACATACTGCATCAAGTAAGTATCATCCTTTTGGCACTTTGTATAGTAGACGTACCTTATTTCTGTACCGAGTTGTAGCTGAAACAGCAAGAATGTTATTCTTGATGCTGCTGGTGGCAAGATGATTTAGAATCGTATGGTTTGGCATGTTGAGCACACTGTTGTCATCTTTCATAAGGGTTGCCGCGTTTAAGATAGGCTTGCTCAGGAAACCTGGTAGCGCAGGAGGATTGGGTAGCCTTTCAATGGCGTTGACGGCATACTGATACGCTTGCGAGTCCTCGGCTTGATCAAAGTCCACTAGGTACTGTGGAATTTGGTTTCGGTAAGATTCAGGAGGGGGTACAGGTTTGCCCTTTGGCTGGGGCGGTGGTTTCGAGGCTTTCTCCTGAGTTGGTGAGACTGCCTGAGCAGCAGCAGCAACTTGTGCCTCGACTTGAGGGCCGGCAGGGTTTGCAGGAACTTGCTTCTTGTGGGCATCCTCGGGGCTCACTTCGATATAGTTGACAAGGTTGTTGCCAAAGTCGACGGTGGTTGGCAGATGAGGAGACGTCTGCATGATGCCGTCCACCAGGAAGCGGACATGGTGTGTACCTGGAAGAACATAGACTGTTGTCGAGAAACAACCAGGACGACCCTCGCTAGATAGGTTATATGTCAGCAACTATATCCCGACTCTAAATGGGCCATATCCTTATCGCAGACCGGACGAATCGTGTGCAACAATCATCTGAGACCACAAAGCAGCCACGGAAACACAGACGACGTAGTGGTCGACCCGTGTCTCAGAGAAGAAAGGATAAATAACATCATGGCACTTACATGGGATGCAATCGTTGCTTGCGATTCCATTGAAAGATGGTACCTGTCACATAAACTTTGTCACCTCCGCTCAGCCACTCCAGCTTGGTCTGAACGACAGGTCTCGTCTTATCAACCCGCAGCTCCTCACCATCCTCTTCATCAACTGTAGTGGCACTGAGGGCAGAACTCTTGCGTGTGATGGTGTCCGAGTCAATAGGCTCAATATCAGGTATCGACAGATCTGACTCTGGCGCCAAGATAGGTGATCCAGGGGTGTGAACCTCCTCATCGATAGGGAGGGGTAAGCGCGGGGGTCTAGTCAGGTACATGTCTGTGATACTGCTATTGGGAATAAGAGCTGTGTCATTTACGTGAGCGGATTGGTGTGATCGAAGAGAAGAGGACTCCATAGGCACATCGACAGGCTTGGTAGGTTCGTCGCGGTACTGAGGTTTAGACTCGGCGGATTTGCTCTCGGCAGGCTTAGGCTCAGGAGTTCCAGCTGCATGCTTCTCGGCGATGCCCTTAGCATCCGAGGAAGAAGCAGTCTTGTGAACAGCGGCGAAGTTGCTATGAGGAGAGCCGCTCAGAGACGAAACAGCAGTGGGAGGCAAGCTCTTTGGTCGATTGATGACGGTTGAGCCCTGAGCTTGCGCCATAGAAGGCTCTGGAGGCGCGGCAGAGCGATGCGCGTGACCGGTGATGATATTGCGGGCATCTTTTCGGAGATGGTGTCGGGGAGACTCATGGCCATGATGATGACCGTGGGCCGAACCAGGAGCCGAGGTCGTCGGCGTGGTCGGTTTGGAGGACGAAGACGGGTTGTTACCCATGTTTACTACCTCCTACTCCCTTCCAAGGGATGTGCTCTGCGACTTGAGGGTGTGATCTTGGTGATGATGGCGTTGGTGTTGGCGTTGAGGGTAAGGTCGGATTATCGGTATCTTATCGGGAATATGACAAACGGCATGTCATGTCAAACTCGATGATGCAGATCTCGTCGATTATGCCGATCGTTGGGAATAATTATACGTGCGCTCTCAGCGCCAATTGAAGATCGAGGTCAGAAGAGGGAGGACGAGCGAGAAACGGCCTGACGCGGCACGGCAGGGTTTGGTGCGAAATCCGGGGTCCTTGTGTAGCGTGATGATGATTCAGATGCAATATTTTTGGTGTCGCTGATGAAATCGGCGCTTTTGTTTGTTTTGTATGTTTGTGTCCAAAATTATCGTCGACCTAGATCCGTTCGCTGGAAAAGGATTTGTTTGTGGCTTCGGTCGTTTCGTTGAGTTTGTTCGTCGTTGGTCGCGGGGGTGGAGATGGATGGACCTGAGAGATCGATCGATGATGGAAATGGATGAAGGGAACCTAATAGTAAGAGAACGGGTGGGATGTTGAATCGTGGCGGGGAGTCTGATAGGTGACAGTCTTTAGGTACTTCAATACCGAGCTTCATAAAGCCCATTGTTCAGGTCACTAAATGACCATCACTAACACCAAAAGACAAGCTATGAGGTATCCACTGAGAGCTGTTCAAGCCAACCACCCAATGGATTGCATCTCGATAAGACTTGAGCTTCCTATGCCTCCACAATCTACAGCAGCTCAAGGGAGCTCTAGCTTGTAAATGCCTTGACTTACTACAGCATTCTTATTCATTCATTAACAACCAATATCTCTGATCAATACCGTACAAGCACGTTACTATACCGAGCTTCCTTGTTGAACCCCTATCATTCTTCTATATCTGCAGTGATGTAATCCTCCCTCCCTTATTATAGAAAGACAACCTCACTCAACACCATCAACACCACAACCTCTAATAACCCAAAATGTCCGACTCATCACCCCCAACTTCCACAATCGTGGCAGCAACATCAGAGGAGGCCTCCCCCACAGTCTCTCCATTCATACTCGCATTCGACATTGTTGTTGCTGTCTTCACCTTCCTCTTCTCCTTCAACTGGTCAGGGTTCTTCTCACAGCTTTTCACTATAATCAGCTTTCCTTTCCGCCTAATTCTCATACCATTGTCCTTTATCCTCAAAATTCTACTCGTTGTGTTTGCACCGGCTATTTATCTCTTCTCTTACACAATTGCTGGCATACGCTCTGTGTGGGCGTTTCTGGCTAGCTTAGAAGTATGTTGTTACATCCGTTTGAGTTAACTAAGTGAGATTAAGCTAACGTTCTAACTATAGCCGCTGTATACTTTTGTAAGGTCAAAACTCACATCACCTTATCTCAGTCTAACAACTTCTAGTTTGGTGCTGCAGCTGGCGTCGGCATCTTGGCTGGCATCGGTCTAGCCATGTTCTCATCCATAAGCACGTCCTATCTAGGAATGCAGAGTGACGATATCGACTCAGGGGGTTCATCTTCTAAGGGAAGTCTGCTCGAGACCAGCAGTCGACGAGATTCGCAGTCTTCAGGCACTGAGCTTGACTGGCAATGGCTTGACTCTTCCAGTCAAAGGCGTCGACCAGCCGGTGGCTTACTATCGCAGACCATTCACGAGGAGGACGATGACGATTCAGAGTATTGATCATGTATAAGTACTATAGTACATCAAAGCTCAGCTGCAAACTTCTACGCTATGGATAATCCCATAATATATGTGCTTAGACGAGAGGATCGACCTGCTAAAATCCTGATGCCATGCGCCGCTCATGTAATAATGCTAGACTAGACACCAGCCTTTCCAAGGATATTCTTCTTCTTCCTTTGTTGTTTACTTTGGTCGTATCAATCCGTTGCGCCATGTCCTGCTATGCCCGGATCGACATGTGATTAATCTCGGTTGTTCGCCTTCAAACGCCTGTACTATCCTTGTCCTAATCTCATCCCTCCTCGATGTGGTGGTACTGGATCTCTCTTCCCTTTGTGGCCTGCGTACACGTGAGGCGGTATCGCTGATGCTGGATTCTATCTCCGGTATGCATCACGGTCTGGCCTATCACGGTCTTGCCTGTCTCGATCTCTTGAACGATCATGCCTGGGTGACCTACTGCGGCTGATGGTGCCACGGTCTCTATCGTATCGTCGGTCTTCTCTGCTGTTGCGTCGCCGGCGATCATCTCTGGGTGGTGGAGGAGGGCGGTCATCCCTCCGTCGGCCTGGATCGTCCCGATTATAGGCGGGTATGTACGTGTCGACATCTGGAGGGGCTCTTGGCCCAGGTGCTCCTCTACCACGAGGGGGTCCTCGCTCACGATAGTCCGTGTCATCGTTCGGAGGCGGTCGTGGCGGTAACCCAGCGCCTCGATCTCGTTGCCAAGCGGGACGCCTTTCATCTGGTCCGTTGCGATATCTGCCTCCGTTCACACCATTCCGACCATTTCCGTAAGGCTCGTTGCTGTTGAAGCCCGCTGTGGCGCCCTTCGCATCTGGGCCAATACCTACAGTCCCACCTTTGGGGGCAGGGGGCAAGGCAGCTTTGCGGTCGTGGAACTTTCTTCTGTCCAGCTCGTGGCTTTCTTCATAAACGGGAATCTCGTGGGGCTCTAATGGCAGAGGCGCCATCTTGAACCACGGGTGTTGTAAAGCGTCCACTGCGTTGATTCGTGTCCGCCAGTCCAGCTTAAGAAGTTCTTTCAATAGTGAGACTGCGCCCGAGCCGTACCTTAAAACGGGATTAGTGACTGAACCTTGAAGAATGTCCCATGTAGACTTACTCTCGAAATCTGTTCTGGAGGTTGCCAGTTCGTGGTCGAGGTGACAGATGATCAGCCCCAGGCAACTGCTTCCACCCGGGCATGTTGTCTTCATTAGGAGTTCCCATCAGGTCCCAGATCATGTCCAGCTGATGTGCGTCACTTTCGCCAGCCAAAATGGGCTTTCCGAAGAGCATCTCGCCCAAAACACAGCTACATAGATTGTGAGAACTAAGAACAATCGGGAACTCCAGAACCACACTTACCCTACTCCCCAAACGTCAATAGCGGGGGTGTATTGCCGTAATTGTAGCAAAAGCTCAGGTGGTCGGTACCATCGAGTAACCACCAGACCAGTGTAATCACGTTTTCCTACGCCGTAGGCTTGGCCAGCCTTTGGAACATCTCCTTCGTAGTGTCGAGCGAGACCGAAATCGGCAATCTGAAGGATACCTTGGTTGTTGATGAGCAGATTAGCAGCTTTCATGTCTCGGTGCAGAATACGGCTGTCGTGGAGGTATCGCAGGCCTTCGAGCAGTTGCAGCATGTAGCACTTGATCTGCGCCTCCTTGAAATGGACCGAGGGGTTATCGAGAAGACCGGAAAGATCGTGATCCATATAGGGAGTGGCCATGTATACGATGGGCTTTTTGCGCTTATCAGCTGAACGGGGTGGTCAGTTGAGTCAAACAAGGAGCAGTCGTGTCCACTCACTCTGTCTGGTAGGGTGCTCGATGGCCATGTCCTCGAGCCTCAGGATGTTCTTGTGCGACAAGAGCTTAAGGAGCTTAATCTCGCGAAGGGCGGTAATGGGAAACTTGTGATGATCGTCAGTGTAGTTCTTGGGTGGGGTGGGGTGGTGCGTCGACATACGCCATCCTTTTCATGATGCATGATGATTTTTTTCAAGGCGACATGTATGCCAGTCTTGCGCTGGCGGGCACGATGAACCTCACTGAGTTTTCGTTAGTATATGCGATCGCGGCTCGGTTGCGATGATCGACGATATATGCGCCGACCAAGGGGTTCGTACCCAAAGGTTCCCTCTCCCAGCTTGCCTAGCAATTCATAGTCGGAAATACGGGAGCATCCCTTGAAACTTGATTTTGGTCTCAAGTGGTTGAGCGCAAAGGTTCGAGGCGAAGTGCCATCAGGCGTCGAGTCTGACATTTTATCTGTGCCGTTGGTTGCTCGAAGAGTTGGAGTTGACGATGCGCGCGTCGAGAAGAGTTGAGTGAGGCTGGGAGGCTTCTCACAAGATTCGCATCGCTTCTTAATCGTGAATCATCGGGAAAAGTTGCAATAACGATTGACGCTTTGGGGTTGATGTATAAGGAGGAGTCGAAGAGTCGGCGCTGGTATTTTGAAAAGGAGAGTGAGCGGGGTTTTCTATTATAGATGTTTTGTTGGTTGATTGTTCTTGATTGTCAATGCACTTTCAATAAGGCCAAGACGAGAGTTTAGAGAGACGCACGAAGGCGGTCAAACCGAGAGGGTGGCAGAATGCTCAAAAGAGGCTTAGCGGTAGGAGAACGGATGGGTGCTCTAGGGGTACGTACCTGCAGACCCTTGCGTTTGCGTTTGTTGGATCCATTTTATCATCTGGGTTCATGATCGTTCGTCATTGTTGAGATTCTCTCACTTTTTTGGCGATTGTCTTTGCAGCAAAAAAATGATTGTGATCTTGGAACGTACGTCATACTTGATCTGTATTTGAATTGACCATAAATACTTCATCACATAATCAAACTAAAGCCATGGCTGTATTTGATCTTGAAACCCCGTTTTACCTGATATCATGGCTGAAGCATCCTGTAGTTGGTGTTCGGGCATGTGAAAGTTCGCTATCCATGTTATCATGAAAAGCATGGATATCACGGAAAGTTTCGTTTAACACTATTGAATGGTAGTCCTGGTCTCTTGAAGATCTTGGGAACATCATTAATTTATTAAAGTTAGTATCCTTGATTGAATTCAGTGAACCTCCCATATAGAGTCCCTATTACTATAGGACCCCGTAATCGGAGGTCACTCTCTGGCGCTGCGCGGCTGTGAAGCATCAAAATAGAAGGGAATCCACATTGTTCTAGCCTTTGCCAATAGAAGATGTGTTGAAAAATGCAGCCTATCTAACCCACGCACGCACGTCCAGTCAGTAAATGGCCAGTGCCAGTAATTATTATTCATTCTCCCCGCGTCTTGGAGATCTTGATCTCTGGGGTAAAAGATGGGATGTCTGGACTATTATTGAGGTACACTCATGTATTCAGTCTTTAGGTATGCTCAATAAATATCAATCTGCTCTGCCTGGATTAATAGCTCTCTTCACCGTAAAAATATCTTCTTGATCACCTGCCACTGGTTACTGCTCATCAACACCAGACCAAAGATACGACATCCTATTTTCCTCATTAACCAATTCAGTATTTAAAATGCTTAGGACAGCCAAGCAGTGCAACTCCAGACCTTGATTTCACACCAATAGTTTTCCTCTTTAATGCTTAGTCTCCGTGGGCTATCGCATACACCAAACATCATCGCCTCTTACTCGCCAGTGCCCGCGAGATATCGAGTTTCTGTTACCCCTTCATAACCTCGAGAGGATCCACTTGATGGCTTCTTTGTCCACAAGGTTTAGTTTCCATGGCACCTACTTATTAACGTTGCGCGTGCCGTAGATAAATTTTCACTTCTCCTCATCTTGATCGTAATTTATGCTTCTTCATCTCTATTCGAAACAACAGTTCTATTCAGAGTCCAATCGTCGATGCGCTGACTGAGTCGCTATCTTATCCTCACATCAGCTCTTATCTATCATTGATACCAAAACGAGACCTCAGTTTAGGGTGACAAAATAAACTCCATAAAAGGTATCCTAAACTCATCCTGAATTTATACCAAGTTACCTAAATCTTTTTATTAGTTAGGTCAATATGAGCGAGACAGGCTCTCATGGCTCTCCTGCCTTGAAGGCTCCCGAGACCAATTACCCCGAGTCTCGGGTCCTTATCATTGGCACAGGAGGGACGATTTGTATGCAGCAGGGCCCTGATGGTCTTCAGCCAACAGATAACTTCTTGGAGAATGCTATGGCTCCTCGTCCGTCATTCAATGACTTTTCAAACCCAGGTATGATAAACCAATCGCTGCTTAAGCCTTCGGATGAAAAGTTAAAAGCTCGATGGCCTTGTATAAGGCTGCCGGTAACCGAAAAAGAGAGAGAGAGAGAGAGAGAGAGAGAGAAGAAAACTCTAAATGGATCACACTGACAGACATCCAGATAGACTTCCAGCAGTTCGTGATGGAGAAAAGATCCAGATCGATAGTCTTCGCACTCCTGCTACAGCATACAATCGCCATGTCCGCTATGGTATCATCGAGTTCAATCCACTACTAGACTCTAGCTCTATCTCCGCCCATGATTGGGATGCCATGGCCTCCTGTGTTCAAGAGAACTATCATCTGTTTGACGGTTTCGTCATTCTTCACGGAACAGACTCTCTGGCTTACACGGCCTCTGCCCTCTCCTTCATGATGGAGAACCTGGGCAAGCCCGTAATCCTTACTGGCTCCCAGGCGCCCATCTTTGCACTTCAATCCGACGGTGTTGACAACCTATTGGGCTCTCTCATCATCGCCGGAACATTCACCATTCCTGAAGTCTGCCTGTTCTTCCATCACCGTCTTTACCGTGGAAACCGCAGCGCAAAGGTCTCAGCAACAGAGTTCGAGGCTTTTGCCAGTCCCAACTGCGAGCCCATCGCCAAGGTTAATGGCCTCGGCATCAGCGTTAACTGGCCTCTTGTCCTACGGCCAACTTCGATTGCCAAGTTTCATGTCACAAAGGGTCTTGACACAACTCACGTTGCCTGTTTGCGCGTGTTTCCTGGCATCAAGCCTGAGATGATCGACGCCGTGCTTCACTTGCCCGATATCCGTGGTCTTATTCTTGAGACGTTTGGCATGGGTAACATCCCTGGCGGTGCCGAGGGTCGTCTGACGCAGATCATCAAGGCGGCTGTTGAGCGTGGCATTGTCGTTGTGAATGTCAGTCAATGTGTTAATGGCTTTGTATCTCCCGTTTATGCCCCAGGCACTGTCCTCGGCCGAGCTGGTGTCATCTTTGGGCTCGATTTAACAGCTGAGGCGGCGCTCACCAAAGTCTCCTATCTACTCGCTCAACCTGACCTCTCTGTCAAGGAAATCCAGGAGAAGCTTTCCCGGTCGCTCCGTGGCGAGATGACAGAGATCGCCCACCAAAGCTTCTCCCACCCCTCAGGCTCACTCGACTTTGCCGCATCCCATCTTACGCCAAGCGAGACTGCATTCTCGGCACTCGGTTATGCGATTGAGAATGGCGAATTGGGACTCGTCAAGGAATTGCTGCAGGGCGAAGGTGCTCAACTCCTCAAGCAGTCAGACTACGCAGGCAACACAGCGGTGCATCTCGCAGCGGTGGCCGGCAGAACCGAGATTCTCCTCGAGTTGCTCCAGCGGGGCGCCAGCGTTCACGAGCGTAACAAGGCCAATCACTCACCTCTGTTTGTCGCTGTCAAGTCAGGCCAGGAGCCTTGTGCACAGTTGCTGCGCATCGCAGGTGCCCATCTGGCGGTGGAGGAGAGGGATTCTATGCCTGGTTACGTGACACCCAAGTACAACAGTCACATTGGAGGACATGGTGTCTGATCGATCTACTCCGTGGGAAGAAAAGAAAACTCAGGACCTTGACCCTAAGCGATGAAAATACTAGGTAAATTTAGCCTAAGCTTAGGGGACTCTTTGCTAAGTTTATTTTGACATCCTATATCAAGGTTCAGTGTTTTCTTGCCCCCTGAGGAACAGTCACATTGGGGGACATGGTTTCTGATCGATGAAAGATCATATCATGTCGTTTTATTTTTTGAGTTAGTGTTTTGTTATGGGGTTTAGGTGAACTTTTGAAGCGAACCAGGATACGGAAAATGGGTGATGGATATAAGCGACGTTCGCAGAGGGACATGATCAAGGCGCTTCGGGATATAGAAAATAAGATGAGATATTGAATTACGAGAACGACTTCTGATAACAATTAGAGTTCAATTGGTACGGCAATGGCTGTTGTTAGAGAGACAGTGGTTTGCGGAGGTGGCTTGCTTTGACGTAGGGAGGGATCCAATTCTCCGATGTAACAACAAAATACTGCCGAAGACTATATAAAAAAAGACCAAAAAAACATACTATTCACTCTATGTCCATACGATGATAGTCTCGAGTTTCGAAGGAGCAATGCAACAGTATAGTCATCTGAATGTCTCGCCTTGGACCCATGAACTGACGTTTGAGTTCCTATGACTAACAGGTACGACACGCTATAGGTCGAGCAACCAAGACCTTCAGAAAGAGGTTATGCTCAGCAAAGACAACCCCAATTGAGCATCATACGGTTGTGGACTAGGCATTAAACGAGTTCAGACGTCTCCGCGGGAATCCTATAAAGAGATTGCGTCCACTCCGTGGCAATGGCAATGGCATGAGTTAGTTATAGTTAGTTGGCCTTGGTAGGGGAAGAAAAACATGACGACGAGTCGTGGGTCGAAATTTGGCATTGGCCGAGATGCCGATTCCGCGACGTCACGTTGTCTTCTAACTCTGATCAATTACTAGTACTTTTTGCTCTGTTTAAATATAGTTGGACTTTCTTCTATCAATGGCTTATACTGGTTGTCAAGACATTTTTTAGTTTGTTTGCTCTCTATGAGTTCCATACCAATACCCTCAGATCATCTACCAGACCTAGACTCTAGCGAGGTCACTTACCCAGGTTCTGTCATAGCAGCTCCCGCGGAACCAACGAATCCAGAAGAACTCAAGCACGATAAATATCGAGAGAATCGAAGAGGATGGCGTCGAATCGTTGTCAATTTCACTCCCTCGTGGTTCACAGTGACAATGGGCACTGGAATCACGTCTGTTCTCCTTCATAACCTGCCCTACCACGGCCGATGGCTATTCTACGTCTCTTGTATAATCTTCTGTCTAAATATTGCGTTATTCACTCTGTTTAGCTGTATATCTGTTATCAGATATACGTATTTCAAAGGTATATGGTATTCGACGTTACGACATCCAGCACAGGCTGTATTTCTAGGTACGTATTTCGTCCTGATGTGATCGATTGTCCTCAACTGAAGCTAACAATTGACTAAAGGGACCATACCAGTTGGCTTCGCTACTATTATCAACATGATAGTCTTTGTATGTGTTCCAGCCTGGGGCGATTGGGCTGCCAACTTTGCATGGGCTCTTTGGTGGATAGATGTTGTCATGGCCACTGCTTGTAGTCTTTACATACCGCATTGTATCATGCGAACAGAGGGTGTAAGTCAATCACTAATTACAGTACTGATGTATCAATACTCACACTTCAAAGATCACACTTGATCAAGTAAACCCTTCCTGGCTCTTCCCCGTCATTGCCGACATCGTTGCCTCCACCTCTGGAGCCATCGTAGCCAATGTCCTCCCAAACGACCAACACGCCATATGGACCGTCATTACAAGCTATATCCTCTGGGGGACTAGTGTGCCAATGGCGATCGTCATTCTCGCCATGTACTACCATCGTCTTATGATTCACGACATTCTTCCCGGCCAAGTTGCTGTAGCTTCGTTTATAGCCATCGGCCCTCTTGGTATGGGCGCAGCAGCAATCCAACTACTCGGCCAAGTCGCTCTTAAACTCTTCGCCAGAAACGACTTCATCCCCGGGGCTCCCATCGCGGGTCAATTCTTCTACCTGACTGGCATTCTCACTGCTCTTATCTTATGGGGGTTCGCCGTTGTGTGGCTCTTCTTTGCTCTCGCTACAATCATTAGACGTCGAATCACCTTTAACCTCACTTGGTGGGCGTTTACTTTCCCCCTTGGAGTGTTTACAGTTGCGACCACGACACTTGCTCAGGAGCTTCCTTCCAAGTTCTTCAAAGTGCTGGGAACCATATTCTCTGTTGCCGAGTTCTTGTTGTGGGTTATGGTGGCGTGTGGGACTATCAAGGCGAGCCTTAACGGCCAGCTGTTCCGACCTCCACCACTAGAAGCATGGGAGAAGAAAGCAAATGAAGTTGAAGAGGCCGAAAAGACCAAAGATTCACCAGTTTAGAAAGCTGAAGTGGGCATCTTAGTACATACACATGCACATACACTGGCATAGTCACGACTATAGACTTGCATATTTTAAAGCGTTCAAAAGATGAACAGTAGCATATCCTCATAGAGTAAGAATTTTGGTTACAATTTAAAATTCACTATTGATTTAGCTACTTGACTTATACTTGCCTGACTGATGAAATACCCTTGAAGTCAACGATATCTGATAACCAGCCGGAGCGGGGCCGAATCATACGGCAGCCCGACCGGCGAAGACACCGGAAGGCTCCACATTTCACCGATTATCGATCTTTCGCCAAGTCAATCAACGACTATCACCATGTAACATGATGATTGATTTCAGAATTGGTTTCAATGTTGATAATAAGATTGAGTGCTACGCTCAATTCAAAACGGCGCAGCTCCAGATCCAATAACGCCATTCATTGGTCCAAGCTCATAGCTCCAGCTCCCGTCACAGCCACTAAACCCCTAAAACAGCTCCAGCTTCAGCGTCCTACTCCACTAGAATCACCTAAAACCTTGAGCCTCGAACCAATGGATCTCAATTGATTCTCCACAACAGCACCCCTCCCCGGGCCCCTTGCTCCATTCGCCTCCATTTGCCTCCAGAGGCCAGATTGTCTTGTCACCAACTGCCCAACCTGTTTTCCCCCATATTCCATCATCTCCACCAGCCTCTTCTTCTTCTCTTTTTCTCTTCACCTCCCTCCCCCCAATCTTCTTCATCGGTGTCTTCTCTATAGGTCTCCCTCATCTTCTCGTCGTCATGTTCTTCAAGGCTTCCTTGCTCGCCCTCGTGGCTGCTCAGGTCTTTGGCGCTGTTGCTCAGGTTCGTGTCGCGCGACAGCTTCTTCTCCCCTCGTGCAATTCTAACATCCAATGAAGGACGCTCCTGAAGCCAATGCCGCTCCCAAGGCCCCCCTCAAGGCTGATATCAAGGCTACTTTCCCCGAAGCTGATATCCTCGGTGTCAAGCTCGTCAACGGTCGCCCTACCAAGGCTGTCATCGAGATCAACAACAAGGATGCCAATGCTATCAATGTCGCCTTCGTCGCTGGCTCTCTCAACACCATGAAGGAGCTCCCTGAGGACAGCCCCCGTTACGCTAGCATCGTGCGCAACTTGACCTCTGTTCAGTACAACATTGAGGTCCCTGCCGGCGAGAAGAAGGAGCTTCCTTTCTCTTTCGCCCAGGACATGCAGCCCCAGGAGGTCCGCGTTGAGCTCTCCGCTGTCGTCACTGATTCTACTGGCAACCTCCACCAGGTCTTGGTTCACAACGGTCCCGCTTCCATCGTCGAGGCTCCCACCAGCTTCCTTGACCCCCAGATGTATGCACGCCCCTTAAAGTCTCAACCAACCGCAAGCTAACAATATTTGCAGTATCTTCCTCTACCTCTTCCTCTCTGCTGCTTTCGCCGGTACCCTCTACTTCGTCTACAAGACCTGGATCGAGGCTCTCTTCCCCCAGGCTAAGCGCCCCCGTACCAGCAAGAAGGCCAAGAAGACCATCGATGTTGCTGAGCCTCTCTCCGGCTCCGAGTCTACCCCCGTCGCCGTTGCCTCTGGAAAGGACTACGACGAGAGCTGGATCCCTGACCACCACATCAACCGCCCCGTCGCCCGTCGCGTCAAGTCTGGCGCCAGCGCCAAGACCAAGCGAGTCGATTAAGGAAGTGAGATATCTTCTTTTCGACGTGTTGCGCACGTGCGCACTGTATTTTGTGACGAAGCCATGTCTGAGTTTCAAGGGTCATGGCGTACATGCCTTGGGTAGACTAGGGGTTGGGTATCATGAGAATTGATCGAACTCGTCACATGGCATTGGATCAAGGGACACCATGAGCCAAAAGTATCTGTTGTATATTATATGTATCAAAACGGGCATTGAGAAAATGACATGCTTTTCCCACACGTTATTACGAGACATGATCCATGATCTCTGTGCACTGTATCGTAAGCATTGCTGTTGCATTAACCATGAAACCCATGATCTAAACTACAAACGAGATTTCATGGTTACCAGTCCTTGCGCCGTATGTAGAGACTTGTCGTGAATACTAACCCATGCGCCAAATCCATTCCTCCATGTCATGATCCTGGTATCTAATCGTTCCTGTCCATTCTCTCTTCGGCTGCCTCTGCTGCCAAGTAGCCCATGACAGCCTTTTCCTGAAGCCTGATATCCTTTTCGGGCCCTGCGTCTTTGTGAGCAACGTGCCCAAACAAACATTCCCATAAGTCATTATTTCCCACGTTCTCACCCGCCGATTTATCCTTACTCATCAACCGTGAAAGTGATGCTTGCTCAAGTTCTAGAGTGTTTGCTGCCTCGATATTCACGTCGAGAAGTTCGGGTGTCGACTCCTTTGATTTGCCCTTATTGACACGTCCCATATGCTCCATTCGCCGCTGGACCGAAAGATTGTAAATCGACTCCTCGACTGTCCCTGACACAAGGTAGAGCCATACAGTTGTTTCGTGCATTTGGCCAATCCGGTCCACACGTGCAATTGCCTGGAGCTCGAGCGCGGTGTTGAGAAGAGGTTCACAGAGAAAAACATGGCTTGCATTGACCAGATTCAGGCCACTGGAATGCGCCCTGGCATGAAGAAGAAAACACTCGACTGAGGCGTCCTCCTTGAACCGTTTGATGCCATCGGGGTCGTCAATGGACGCATAGCCGATCCTAAATCTTGAAAAAGCGTTGCGCAAAATCCCCAGAAATCCTTTGTATTGAGAGAATACAATTGACTTTGCGCCAGGGTCAGACTCTCGTAGCCACATCAAATGTTTCACAAGCGTATCAACTTTCGTGGTGAACGAAGGCCCGTCCAGCTCGATTTTCTGTATCTCGGCCAGCTTGTCCGAGTTGAATTCGGAGTAGATCCCGGTTTTCTTTGGCGAACCGGTTTGTTTTTCTTCAGGGCTATTCTCCGTACCATCTTGAGCTTGGCTTGGATCATCGCTATGCACTTTGAGTTGCTGAGGATTGATAGTAATATCGTGCAAGTTGGTTGACTTCAACTTTCTCTTGCACACCGGGCAATTGTGGTGGGCTTTAAACCACAACATCATACACTCCTTGCAAAACTGATGTCCGCAAACCGTGAGCACGCCAATGGTGAAATTGGTCTGGCAGATGACGCACATTCGCGGCTCATTAGACTTGTTTCCGGCATCCTTGAGGTGAAGGACTGGAAAGTCAGTTTGGGGCCAAAGAATAAGGATGGTACCACTCACGGTATCTGTGTTTGGCTTCTGCTGCAGACAACCTTTGCCGCATATTTTCCTCAGTCGTCTTCATCCTCGTCATGAGTTCTTCAGTGACAGGCTCCTCGTAGGGGAGGACACTATCAGAGACCACTTGCAATTGGCGATAATACTCCAGGCGGAGGTTCATGATGTTCTTGAACTTGTCGACCTCGGCCTCGAGAGCAGCAGTAAGCTTGCTCTGTGTGTTCAAAATTGCTTGCGTTGCTTTGAGCTGTCGATCTGCAATTCTACCTTCTAGGATGCTTCGTGTGGTATCCCTTGCCAACTTTGATGTCAAGCCTCGAAACTCGCTGATAGCTTTCCGCATCGAGGTTGATCGTGGCTTGATTTGATCTCGTAATGCAAGAAGCTCAATGAGCTTTTCGGGAGCAGGCCCTTCTTCGTTGGCTGCGAGTCTCAGCGACGTTTGTGTTTCGTGCTTGATCAGTTCGTTAGTCTGTCCAGTCAAAGCATCCTGTCGGTCAGCAATGATAGCTCGAAGAGCTTGAACATAAACCATGAGTTCATCCTGAATCTTGGCTGACTCGCCGTATTCATCTCCAGTGGTTTCGGCATCGTCCTCCTCATCAACCAAAGGCTTCAGAACCAGCCCGACTAGGTGTTCCCTCCATTCATCAATGACATTTGCTTGGTCATTCAGTTCGTTGTACAATGCTTCTAGATCATCGACGATGCGACCGCTCTCGATACCTCGTTCCTCATCAACTGTGAGCTCCGGAATCTCAACAAAGGATTGTTCGGATGCTTTCTGTGCCACCTTCGCCATCAGGCGGGTTGCTTTGTGGTGAGGCTCTTGTAGGATTTCCCTTCGAATAGCCTTTGCTTCCTCGTAGTGCTCATCTTCCAACTTCTTAATACGTGAGAATTCCTCGGATTCGGGCTCAGTCATTTCTGGATTTTCGCGGATCTGGAAGTATGCATTCGCGCAAAAGAAAACGGCCCTGTGGTACATCTCTAATGCTCCACGAAGCCTCCGTCGGCTTTCAAACAGCTGACCTTTCTCCTCAACTTCAGAATCATCATCGATATCAGAGTCCTCGTGGCTGGTGGGCCTAATTCTTGACACAGCCAAGGATTTGAGCTCATCGCGGGCTTTGGAAACTAGTTTTCGAGCTTCGTCTCGTACTGATAACCATATTTCCAGTGCCTCCTTTACTCGGGGGCTGTTTTCGTATAGTTGACCTCGTGTCAGTTTACTGGATAGATAGGCTCTCTCATCTGTTCGAATCGCGCTCTCGCTTTGCTCTAGCATAGCATCTAAAACCTCGTCAACGGTCCTCATGGGCCGATTTTTGCTGTTGCCGAGAGTTCGGCGGTTATAGCCTGCAACTTCAGGATGCAACGCAGTCTGCCTGAGTCGAACCAGCCAAGTTCTCATGTCTTCTTCATGATCCCCGGGCCTCCAGTCGTCCACAATTGGCGCTCCTTCGAGGCTCAGCCCACATGCTTCCGCCATTTCTCGATAAAGGGACTGGTAGTGCTGTTCCTCAACGGCAGTAAAGGGCATACTGATGACAAAGCGTTTCTGGGATGGCAGAACCAACTCGTCTCTAACCATTGACTTTGTGTGCCGAAGAGCGATTCTGTTGAATAGGCGCTGGAAGGCAGATTTGTGATGACGGATCAGATCTTGCCATATCTGGTTCACAGAACAATAGGGCTCGTACTGGAGGAAAAGTAGTAAGCCCTGAAGATCCTCAACGTCATTCTTCACCGGAGTTCCTGTGATACCCCACGCATTTATCCGAGGAAGAACACGAGCCACTTTCGCGGCCTGGCTATAGCCACTTTCAATCATCTGAGCTTCGTCAAGGCATATCCTCCACCACGAGATTTGCACGAGGGGGGAACTGGGCCGATCATAAACTCTTGCGTGCCGCCGTGAACGCTCTGGAGGTGCTGTCGTGAAGTGAAGCTCAGAGGACAGTACCGGATATGTTGTGAGAATGATATCGTGGCCAGCAAGTTCATCTGTGGCCTGTTGCTCGTCCGCTTCCGACATCCTTTTCCGACCCTCATAAACTTTGACACTTAAGCTCGGCGCATGACGTGCAATTTCGGATGCCCATTGCTCTTTCAACGATGGGGGTGTCACAATCAACGTAGCACCACTCGGCGTCAGTTTGGCCTGGGACTCATAATCACTTTGAATCAAGGGTCGAGATCGCTGGTGAAGCAATATCAAGCCGAGTATCTCCAGGGTTTTACCAAGGCCCATCTCTTCTGCCAGAATGCCGCCCTTGACGGAAGCCTCAGCTTGTCGGAATAGCGAAATATCTCTTGTCACCGTATGGAATAATTCGCTCAAGTAGTACTCATTCCCGGCCACATCCGTCAGTTTCTTGAAGTCGTATACGCTATCCTGATTTTCAGGTACGTATGGGACGATGCGTCGCATATCTGCTGACCACTGCACTCCTTCACGTTGCAGTAACCACTGCAGTGTGCGCCTTTGGTATGGGAATAATGTCGATTCTAAAGCATCGACTTGAATAGTTTCAGGTGTTTTCTCGTCCTTTTGGGGGACAAAAGCTGCTTCGTAAAAGTCCATGGGAGACCAAGTTGAAGTCCAATTAGATGTGCCTGTCGAGATCGAGCCACGCAGTAGCAAGTCAATGAATGGCTGACTGCTGCCGCGATCTGTTGACGACCTGTACTGAGAGTGCGGAGATGGAGATTCATTCCAGTAGAAATTGCGGCAGAAAGTCATCTCAACCTGCCTTCCTTGCCATTCAAGTTCCAAGTCGAATGTGCTCCATAGCGCATTCGGCTGTGACGCTCGCTGGGAGATGCTATCCAAGACGCAATCAATCTTCATCTGGTCATCTACTTCCGCTCGTCTTAGCCTGACCGCGACATCCAATGTTGTGAAATCCTTCCGCGGCTTCATGCGAAGTCGATTGTCCATAAAACGAATGTTTATGTAGCGATCAACGCTCTTACAAACGAATGATTGGCTTTTGGAAGAGGACCCTGCGCAAGGGCGAGAAATAGTAATTCTTTTCTTTGCGATAGGTATAGCATTCAAGGCTACTGAAGACTCGGTCTTACGACGCTTTGTAGGTGGCCCTTTCTCCTGGGACGATGATGGTTGATCCGGAGTATCATTTTCGGAAATCATGAGACTGATAAGACCTTCAACGAATGATTTTGGCATCAAATCTGAAGTCAAAGATGTGAGCGTGAATGGATAAAATCCCTGGTGGCTAACTCACCATCAAGTCCAATGTGTAAGTGAGGCGCATCGGGACGAGGACGCCGGGCGGTGGCCTTGCAGCGGCCCATGGTTGATATTATACGTTTGTTATCATTTACCACTGATGTTTGGTAGATGGAGATCCCCCAAGCTTGAGGTCGCGAAATATTATAGATGACTCAACATGAAATCGAGTATGTAGGAGAGAAGAAGGTAGGAGAAGCATGTAGGCATTCGAGGTGGGATATCAGCCTAGTCGGATATAAGTGGAGCACAATGGATAAGCAGGGATCAGCGCCACAGTTTGGAGAAGCATCAGCCACAGAAACAGCCTTGCTGACATAACGAAGACCCATCGTCAAATTTCGAGATCAACGTTCGGCTTGTGAGACTTCGTTGATTGAGGCAGCGGGCTGAACTTGTGTCATCCGACCCATTGAGCAGCGTAAGTTTATGTTACGGAATTGATACTGTCAACCATCTTCTCTAACACAAGTTACTAGAAAAATGAAGGGCGAACAACTCAGGTCAACATTTGGCCTGCTTCTGCAGAGCGGCAGCGCCTTTTCAAGGACAGGACAGATCCGACAACTTCACAAGACACGGCCTGCGCACCCGATCCCCAAGCCCCGACCGTTCGTTCCCGATGTGCCGACCTTCCTCACCCTGATCGGCCGTGGCCTCAACAAGTACGCCAACAAGTTCCCCTCATGGAACGCTCTCTTCTCCCTCACCTCGCCAGAACTCAAGGAATTGGGCATCGAACCACCCCGAAACCGGAGGTACCTTTTGCATTGGATGCAGCGATATAGAAAGGGTTCGTTGGGCCCCGGCGGAGACTTTGAATATGTCAAGGATGGACAGGCTCTCTTAAAGGTCGCAACACCGCCTCCTTCGGCCCTCAGCGATACAAAATGGGTTGTCAATGTGCCCCACGATTTTACGCCCGATCAAAAGGTTCCTCAAAAGGCTACTAAGAAGTCTGCGGGTGAAAAGAAAACTCGCTCATATCTGCTCCGACCAAACGGATATCGAGTCGTTGGTCACGAGACGATTGCTGGACCTTTTGCCCAGCCCATCGCTGGAACATCAGGAGCTATTGTGAAGGTTACGGAAGGCATGTGGGAGGACCGTCAGGGTCGCAAGATTGATGGTGGTGAGCGCAGAAGGGCTGAGGTTCGATTCAAGAAGAGGTCGGCAGAGCGAAGAGCTGAGCGTGAGGCCGAGATGCTGGCCAATATGTAATAGTTGTGTAAAAGACAAAAACACAACATGTACATTTACAACTGTAGTTTTAGCAGATATGACTGGGGCTTATGGATGGCTGAGCAAAAGCATGTTTTCACTCAAGTGCTGTTCTCGGGTATCTTTTGATGTGCAAAAAAGACTTGGTAGCATTTTATCAAGCCCATTTCGTATCCATCTGGTATATCGGTTTGCCATGTTCGTGTGGAGAGGCTGTGTAAACATTATGTCAGCGATTATGGAAGATATCATCCTGAGGCATTGTATCAGAGCCAACGCCTTACTGCCTGGTGTATTATCTACCTCTTGGCAGGCAGAAAGAGAAGCTATTCTTGACGTAAATCCCGGATCTTATTTTCGGTAAATTTGGAGCTTATTTCAACGTCACTTGAAGTCTCTCGCGAATTCCTGTAGTGGGCCATCAATTCGTGGAAGTCTTATTGTCAAAACTCCAAAGAACAGTAGGCTATGCTAAACTAATGCAACTGTGCCGTGCACTCTTGACACCACCAGAACGCTCACATGGCACATAATTTACAATGACTGAATCTATGCAGATTTGAAATTCTATATTTGAACATGTTGTGGATGGTGTTGATGCTGCACCGCCCATTGATACAAACCCAATCCCCTGCTCTGCCTACTATGCGATTCACCTGACAAAAGAAGCATGCTATGCGGGGATCATGCTGATTCTTTATTTTAAGCTTCTTCTTCTATTGACTAATGGTCTCGAGGTAGTGAAGTTGGGTACCCTACCCGTGTCTTGTACTTGACGCCTCCCAAGTGCTGTAACAACAAGCATTGAGAGGTGGGTTAATTATAACTGCATATCGGATACCCTCACTTCCGACTATTGCTAAAGACATAACTGAACCTGTATGGTGGGTGTTCACATGGTTGTTCTCTGACTAGTTTTGTTAATTTGAAGATGGTGGTTCATATGCAGCCACTTTCACGATGTGACAGGAAACAGAAATAGAAAATGCCATCTCCGCACATGACTAAGAAACGGAGGTGGCTGTATGTGCAATAATACTTGTTATTTCATATCGTATTCCTGACTGGGTGGGGGTTCTTCTGATTGTGACTTATACGTTGATGGAAATCTTGTCTCATGCAATTGTAATGCTAAGAAGCACTCTCATAACTTTTCGATCAATGTTCGTCCATTGTTCGTTACTTGGTCCTCGCTATGAAGAAATTCACGATAGCCAACGTCCGTGCAGATTGGCGAATATCTCGCATTCGCCTAATTGATCAGCAAATGAATCGTCAGAGGGTGGCCCCCAACTGTCGGTGTTAGAGTTTCAGCTACCGCCACTTGATCAAGGGACCTTTTGTTTGGCATATTCTTTATGGGCAGCCAAGAGCTAATTATGACGAATGAGGACGGGTTCGTAACCACCTCCGGGGCATTAAATTTCACAGGGAGATGTAACATTGCAGAGGCTGCCTAGAATTGGCTTCTGCTAAGGTTGTTCTGGGCTCCAAGCACGGGATACTGTATAGCGTCGATCATCCGGTATCGCGGATACAGTGCAGCCCTGACGAGCTGAGGCTTGTGATTGATAATCATGAAGTTTGAGGTTCCTGGAATTTCCTAGCGACGGCAGATCGACTTGGGCTTCAGAGATCACGCGCGCCCTTTGAGAGACATATATGTACCTAGCGTGAGGGTTTTCTCGTAGCCACCTTGAGCTCGTTACGATTATTTTGTGGTCTCGAGACAGGTTGGGTAGCATAACTTTACTCATCTCATCCCTATTCTCACCGACTGCTTGGTTCGGCGATGCATGAATTGACCCTCCACGATCCCATTGAGGGATGTTGTGCGAGTGCGTGTTCGTAGGGCTGATGAACCAACTTGGTTGTGATGATATCAAAACGTGTCCTCATATCTCATCCATGTATAGACATACGTACGTCCAAGACAGGCCATGATGTGGAAGCCTTGAGGCAACGACTTTACTACGCAAGGCAGCCCTTTTTGGAGAAAAGATCCTGGTAGTTGAGACGGGAGGGAACTTAAAACATACATAACGCTCAAGCATAACATACGGTGTGGTATGTGTCACTGAGATACATACTTGCTGGGTCAGTGCAGTGCAGTAGAATGACCTCAGCTAAAACGTGTCCAAGTTCTCGGGCCCGTCCCTAATGAAATTTGGCTCCAGCTAAGATATCCGTAGTTGCAATGGCGATGACTCTTCTGAATCCCTGTCCATGATTATCCGGCACGCAAGATCCGGGGATGTCGGGTCGGAATCACAGGGTGTATCTTGTGACTAGATTATCCGTGATGAGCCTTTTCTGTTCCCTAGAAAATCCGATTAAATGCCTATATTTTCCTATAGACTTGGTTGAAGACGTTTGAATATTACATCACGGTCATGATGTATGTACTGTGCACTGATGAATACATATTATCGTCAAAGAGGTACATCTGCCTTACAAGGCCCGTTTTAGCACGTCCCACTATTTTTCATTACCTCGTGGCCCCAAGGCCCTACTCCCCGTCCATCGTATATCTCGCATTCCCGTTTTTGCTCCCCTTCCCTTCTCAGGTTCAGGGCGACAGGTGGCTTAGCAACGCGGCTTTTCACACAATGTCAGTGTTCCATTGGCCTTCTCCAACTTACACTGTCTCGAACCATCTAGCGTGACTTGTTGCGAATGCACGTTTGCAGGGGGCTTACAGAGGAGACGCGTGCAAGAGGTACATTCGTTTAATTACACGAAACTCAACCATATCTTTAAAGAGTAGGTCTTTCGATCTCTCAGCTGTGACGTCGTCACTGTACGTGGGCACATACGTGTTACTGTACAGTACTCGACCTGAAGTGTAGTAGCCTAAGGTATGGATATACAGTAGGTAGGTATTACTTTGAGATTAGCCCCATGGGGGGGACGTTTGTAAGTCGGTGATTACAAGGTTTCCTGAGTATGACTCCTTCGCCGTCATGGGTCCCAAGATAGGTAGCTTGCTTGCATGTACCTTACGTACAGTCTCTCCCTTGAACATCTGTGAGAATACGTATGTTGGTGCACCACGCGACCTGGAGAGGCCTCAGTCATGAACAAGAAATGATTTCGGATCTGATATCGCTTGAAAAGAGGCTGCCGTGTTGACGCACACCCTTGGACTTGGGGCTTCGTCTTACACGCCATTCCACGCATCTGGTGGTGTACCTTAACAAGGTTGTTTAGTGCATTTTTTTATCCAGTCTGTACCGTTTTAGTTCTTTGCCTGTTCTCTCCGCCCCCTGCAACTAAGGCATGGGTCACTTATGGATATCATGGCTGATGCGAATCCTTCTTAGTCGAAGCGAATGGCGAGCAACGCCTGCCAGGATTCGCTTCTTGACTCGAATGCCTCTGTAGTAAAGACTCACCTCCAATTGCTTAATTTCCCGAAAAACCTCTTTCTGACGCATCCGCCTCGTGCCCTCCTCGTAATCTCCATACGTCAATTCTGCCCTACCCGGCTCCGCCGTTGAACCTCTCCATACCCTCCCTCCATCTTTGATACAGTCACTCACTCACTGTCCAAGATACCCCGGTCCTGGCCGATTCAATCATCCCGCTGTCGCATGGGTCCCTCAGGTACTAGTGTACTACCCTATCATGTCCTAGGGTTTAAAAGTCGTTGCCTTACATGTATGTGGCTTCGTCCCTCGTTTTCGAGTTTCGTTCATACCATATCCTAATACAATTAAACTCTAACCGACTTCAAGACATCCCTATTCTGTCTGCCTAGTTATCAATCTCAGACTTCTAGTACAAGGGTGTAGTTTGTTTGTTTCAGTTGTCGTTGCTACACTACAACTCTGTCATCTCAGCCTCAGCATAAAAGTCCTACAACTTAGATGGTTCCCCCCTATTGTGTCAACAAACTCAATACCATCTTCTCAAGGCCTCCAATTTGATGACTCTCTAAGAGTAGATGTCCTTGCCGAATCAATCGCCATCGGAATTACAAACTCCAGAAATTCGCATTCAAAGTGCTTCCCCTGACCAAGAAACAGAGGGAAAGGAGAGATCAAGCGGCAAACGCTCCAAATCTCCTTCAAAACTTGCACCAACACGTCAAACAAGGTCGCAATCCTCAAGTCACAAAGACAAGAAGAAGGCTTCTTCTTCCAAATCAGATTCTCACTCTTCTGAAAAGAGCAAAATGGGCGGAAGCTCAAAACATAGCTCTCACAGCTCCCATAAGGGCAGCTCATCTTCACATTCCTCAAAAAAGTCAAAGTCAAGTTCAGTCGATGATGTCGACTGGTCAGATATCACAGATCCTGAAGAGAGACGAAGAATCCAGAACCGTATTGCTCAACGCAAGTTCAGTAAGTAGCAAGAATTCCGAAAAGCAATCATGTAGCTAACAGAATTACCCCAGGAGAAAAGGCTCGAGAAAACAAGGAGAGAGCCGAGAGAGATTCTCGAAATCAGGAGTACGCTGGCAACAGCTATCGCATTCCCTCTGCCAACGACTTCAACTCCTATTCAGACCCTTCAGGGCTTCCTTGGGGCAGCATGAACATCGGCCACTTTGTTGGTCGTAGTCAGGAGGCCGAGAGTCGACACAGCAGCAGTAGAAGAGGAACACACAGCGCAGACGATAGCTTTGCTACAGCAACATACAGTGCTTCACCCTCATACGGCACACAATGGGCACAGGCCAGTTACGGTGAAAGCAGTGGAGCAGACGAGATGTATTACGATGATTCTTACCTATACGACCCAAATGCTGGGCAATGAGTTGTGTAGAAGCTATTGTAAGATCACCCCCTTTTCTCTCGCTTTTCTCAACTAACATCGATACAGTGGTTCTCGCACCTGGGAATAGAAGGAATTGAACGGACTTATCACGATTAATGTCATTGTATAACTTATTACACACCCTCTTCTGGAGTTTTTGTTTTAGTATTACCCCGCTCGCTCACATGGAGTTGGTCTTGTTGGACTAGATTGCTATTCTTGGATGCGGCTGAGACTCGGGACGGGATGATTAAGCGGTCAGGCAAGGCAAGGGGTGAAGGACTAATTACGAGAGGAAAGAAGATCTCTCTTTCTATTCATAGATCATGTTTTACCATACCTAGGGCACTCCTCTACTCTGCTACTGGTTGGCGTTAAAGATGGCGGCAAGGGGGATTACTTTGCATAATAAGACAATATTTGGTCCAATTCGTTGCATGATAAATTGCCCGATGATCAACTTTGAGAGTTGGATAAGCTGACAGTGGTATATGGGTGATATGGGTTGTGTTGACCAATGAATGGCTTCTTCACATCACATTTTGAGGTCAAATCGTATATCTATGTACTGAAGTCCTATATACGAGAATGCGGCCTCCAATTCATGTAGCGTTATACGAATTCAGATATGTAGCAACCCCTGAGAGCTAAAATATGCCTTGTTTCAACCTTGCCCATTTCGTAAGTTGTGGCCTGATATGAACATGATCTGCCCATGTTTATTACCAGCCAACACGATTACCATGAAACATAGACTATCATTTTCTTGTATACACCGAATAGTTTCAGTTGATGTTTGAATCATATAGCGTTGCCTCTTCTGGAAAACCAAGCAGTGTCGAATGTTTACAGCGTGTATCATCTAGTAACCGCCAGCCAGTTCATCTATCTCCCGTTCAGTAGAATGTTCTCTAGCCCTGCAATATTCGATGTATAGTTTGCCTTCCAAAATAATTCTTGTATTAGTTGTGTGAGGGAGGAACATGTAAGCATAGCTGTGCTTGCTCAGTAGTTGTATTTGAGAAGAGAGATGTAGGCATGTGCCGGCTTAAAGTCAAGACGGAGGGTCAGTAATGATCTCTTCAGAGATAAAAAAGTCCTATCTATCCTTATCTTGACTTATTAGCCAGCCTCTTGGATATGATAAATTACATGAAGATATCGTCGTTCGAGAATGAGATGTTGGGGATAAGGTAATACACATGCTATGAGCGTAATACACCACAACATAGCTTGATTGATATTTCTCAAAGCTAAAAGTTAACCTCGCAAACACAACGGTCCAGCTAACTCACTTCATCTCTCGCATTGAACCACTTCTGTAACTCTATTGAAGCTCTTGTTTCTCCAATGCTGAACTCGAGCTTAGTTGTCCAAGCTGGCGTGTAAACCGGCGATTGCCTATTTAGGCAATTCTTCACTCCACTTTGCGCAAGTAGTGGAAAGGCACGGAACGCAACGCCCCTGCTTCCATGTGCACAAACAGTTCCTGCCCCACCCAAGTTCAACGCTTGATCCCCTGTCGACTTTTTCTCACCGCCCGGCAGAAAAAGTAGTTATTCTGTACAGTGCCGTTGCGCATTTCATGAAGCTATCGTCGATTCTTCTTTGCGCCATTCACCCCTCAACCTTGAACACTAAGAGATTGACTTTCTTACTGATTTTTGGCAAACGGTAACGAACTTATCGAAACTTCTAATTGCCCTTCTACTTTCAACCCTATACCCAATTTGCTTTTTGTCATTCCAAGATCGTCGTCATGTCGTCGTCCACAACTGGCGGTGTTGCTCTCAACCCTGAAGTCAAGTCCAAGAAGGGTAAGTCATAGATAACTTCTACTTTCTCCAGCCTCTTATCCTAGCCTACCAAACTCATCTAACGTTTGCGACATGCAGACAAGAACCTCAAGCGCAAGCAAGACAAGTCAACCAAGCTTGAGCAGCGCAAGAAGAAGCGTTCCGCCAAGGCAGAGAAGCGAGCCGTCAAGGCTGCCGGTGCCGTCAGCGCTGAGCCCAAGGAGGTCGTTGGTGGCAAGCCCCGAAAGTCAAAGACCGTGGCCAAGAAAACCGTCAATGCTTCCAAGCGCAAGGAAAAGCTAAAGGTTCGTGCCGAAAAGCTTCAGGAAAAGGCAAACTTGTTGTTGGCCGAGGCCAAGAAGGCTGCTGCCCAGTATCAAGCACTTCTTGATGCAGAGGTAAGTCCACCCGTTCTATGATTGTTTATTTGCACACTGATCCCCCGCGCCAGAAAACCGCCAACGAGTCCAAGTCCGAGCAGGACGACGATACCTCTTCTGATTCCGAGACTTCAGATTCTAGTTCCGATAGCTCATCTGAGGACGAGGGAGGTGCTCCCGTGGCCAAGCAGCCAACCGAAGTTCCTAAAAACATCCCAGCCGACGAGATCGTGATGAAGCACCGCCGACTGAGCAATGCCACTTCCGAACGAAGCCATGTTTCCGCCGCCGATATCTCTCCCGAGGTAGAAGAGGAGCCGAAGGAATCCAAGAAGGACAAGAAGAGCAAGAAGGGAAAGAAAGTAAGACTCGTCGAGCCTGAGAAGGAAGAAGAAGAGGCTGTCGAATCTGAGGCTGTCGAATCTGAGGCTGAGGTTGAGGAGCCCCAGCCCAAGGCATCTGACAAGAAGGCCAAGAAGGCCGAAAAGAAGAGGAAGCGAGCTGAGGGCAAGGACAAGAAGGAAAAGGAGCCCGAGTCTGCAGCTCAGGCTGAACAATGGCAAGTCGATGATCTTGAGGGAGGCTCTGCTCGACAGGCCAAGTTCCTCCGACTTTTGGGTGGAAAGAAGGCTGGTGCTAGCGTCGCCGCCTCCCACAACACCAAGGGCGCATCTAACTCTACCAAGGCCGAGGCCGACATCCAGAAGCAGTTCGAGGCTGGTATGAAGATGAAGAACGATGGCGGCAGCAAGCGTCGTGGTCTTGGTGCATAGTTGTTTGATGCACAGTATATGTTTCGTGTTGGCATTCGCATTTCAAGCTGCTAGCTTGGCACAAGCTCTCCCCATATAAAGAAAGGGATGTTGTTTTAATTCACGGTTCATGGCATGGCGTCAGGTAGATAAAAAGCAAAGAAATAAACCGCTTTATTTGTTCATCGAGAAGAAGTCGATTTATGTTGATTCCAGATTGCGCCTGTTCTCCTTAAGTCAAGTTCCTGCGAATTCAATGCAGGTTCTCCCATGGCGAAATACAATTATATGTGCCCTTCCCCCCTTCAGCTCCTTTGGACGGTGGACTGGTGCCCCGTGCTTGTCCGTAGCTTTTAAATGGTTCAAAGACCCTTCCTCTCCCAGATATCAAGAAAAACTGCAGGACCATCGCTGAGAGCGAGGTCTGGCTGGGGTATTGTTGTTTGTTGTTTGCGTTTATGCTTTTATAGGGGAGAGCTTCAACTGATGGAAGCTTAACCGAAGAATCGGGAGATACCCTCGAAGACGAGGCCACCAAAGATGACGAACCCAAGGATAGCTGCATTGGCGAAGTGTTAGTAAAGCGTAGCTCCTGTAACCATCGGGGTTCATGTATACGTACAGATCCAGAACAGGGAGATGGGAGCCTTCTGAACCTTCTCGACACGCTTCTTGATCTGACCCTCCGCCTTGCCCATCTTGGCTTCGTTGCCCTTGGCAAAGGCCTCGTTGCGTCGTCGCTGCTGGGGAGTTTGCGCCTACAAGGAAGTATCATGTTAGCTCCATCATGAGATCGACACTGGATGATGTAGGAGGGTCCAGGCTGTGGCGTACCATTGTGTTTAGCTTTGAGAGTTGAAATAAAAAGTTTGGAAAGAAATATACAGAAGAATTGAGTTGTTGACGGTTCCAAATCTTGTAAACGGTCTTCGTCGCGTTAAAGTACTAAGATCGTATTAAGGGACAGATTTCAAGGGCCCGTGAGGGAAGGGAAGTTTAAATGGGCTACTAACAATTTTGGGGACATGTGTTCCTTTCCCCTTAAAGACAGACAAGGGAAGGCGACAGGGGAGCCTAGAGTGAAGACCGTCTCCTTCCCCCACCGGCCCCGCCCCCACTTCACTGCCACATGTGGCTGGTGAACTTGAAGCTTTATCGATATGTTGCTTTGCGTCTGAACTCTTCAACAAGTACCAACACAATGATTTCAACAACTTTCACGAGGCTACGGCCTATGATTTCGTCTAGAAACCTATACTTGAGAGGAGTTTCCAGAAGAACATATGCGAACAAGCCACCAAGCCCTGTGGTATGTCTGCAAAAGTATTCGTAGGATTTATGTTAACAATCTAGCAGTCTCAGTTCTATCGCACATTCACTCGACCTATCGCAAAAACACTTCTCATTGCTGTCTTTACGTACCAGTTGGCTTACTGGACTTGGTTAAAACTTGAAACGGATGAGATCCGTGCGGAGCGAGAAGGTTGGTCGCAAGACATCACTTGAGAAGATATGGGAGCTAACGCGTGAATGAATAGCAACGATTGAGAAGCTTGAGACAACTATCAAGGATTATGATGCTGCGACAAAGGCAAATAAGGCTTAAAGCGTATAAATGAGATTACGGGGGTGCAAAGCAACCAATTTTCTTTAGTTGTTCTGTGTAGGATATTGATACCAAATCGCTCATGTTATTCAAAATAACCTTACTTCTACAAACGTATGAGCCTCTTGACTTTGACACGAAATTCAGACTGTCGCTAGAATTAATCTCAGATGTATCTCCGCAGAAGTCCCTCTAACAAAAATAACGCCCAGCATACCCAAGAAACGAGAAATACACATCTTATAGTATCAACAAGGCCATCAGTGACACAGCACCGAGAGCAAAAGCGCTTGGTCGGACAATTACACCTGCACTGACCCTCGTCCTTGGCTCGCCGGGGTAGTTACATGTTATACTCGAAATATCCGGATTCCGCCGTCCGTAGCTCACACTGAAACTTGGGAATCCAGGTTGTGGACAGGTGAAGCCTATCGCAGCGGGACATGCTTGAACAACTTCGTAGCAGACGTCCTCGCAGGGTAGCAACTCCTTGTACGGACCAGGCTTGACGGTTTCGTCGATCCAGGCGTTTCGCGAGGAGTTATTTGCTGCGGCCTTGAGACCCTTGCGGAAATTATCAGGAAGCGTTGTTCCATTGGGAAAGGCTTGAAAAGCGTCGCGAACAACGCTATATCTGCTGCCGCCCATAACATCCTCGCAGCGAGGTATCGCGACGGTGCAGAGCCAACGCTTGTACGCCTCACGACACTCATCGCAATCTCGTGCTAGCGAGTAGCGAGACTCAGGGGGTGCTTCACAGGGTACCTGCATCATGACTTTTTCGAAATTGGCGTACATTTTTCTGGCGTAATCATCGTAATGCTTGGCCAGGGCAGTATTGTTGAACTTTTTGTCGTTGCCAGGTACTGCATATTGTGTCTCGTTGCAAAAGTCCAGATTCGTAACCATCTTACAGTTCGTGCCTGGTGATGGTGATAGGTTAGCTAATATCCAAGCAACATGAAGCGCAATTGATCTTACTGGATGAAGTCTCAAACGTGGTGGCCTTGTAGACAGTGCCTCCCCCGCCTATTGTGCGCCCAGACTTGGTATCTCTTTTGCTATCACTATCCGGCATCTTGACGAGGATCCCCGAGTAGGTGGTACTGTGGTTAAGCCCTGCTACCAGGAACTGCTGCTTGGGCAATCCTCCTTGCCCTCGTGTCGTAAGGCCCGTCGTAACAAGATCGTTGTTTCGCCCAGTCTTCTTATCGTTGGCCCAGATTTCCGCATGGTCCGTTAGGCCACAGGCTGAATGTCGCAGACCATCGATGGATCTCAATTTCTCGTCCCCAACAAAAATCTGAAACGGTGGCGGCCTCTTCATGATCTGCTGGGTCTCGTCCGCGTCCTGAGTCAAATCACTGGTGAAAAGGAGGGCTGATGTTGAGTCAAAGTCCATCAACAGTAGCTGAGCAGTGCCATTTCTGGCATCGTAATTGTGATAGTACTCGTCGAAAGAGATGGCGATTTGGTATTTGTATTCCCCATCAGCCTTTGATATATTCGGAGCCACGACGCTGATGTATATGTCATTGGTAGCATTCATGGTTAGCATAACTGCGCCCTCGTCGAACGGTATCTTGGCGGTATCGGGATTTGACTTGTTGTAATTGCCTGCCGTTGGGCACTTGATCTTGTTTGTTGTTGAAGTATAAAGACTGAGCTGTGGTGCCAGTTCTGTTTTCCCACTCTTGTCTTTGGTCTTTAGAGTTGGCCTGGAACAAGTATTGGCAGACACATAGACAGTCTTTGTCTCTGCTCGACGAGAGTTCTGATGACCAGTCTCCCCGCTCGTTTTATGATCATCGGCCCTCTTGTCCTTCCCAAACAACGTCTTCTTATCCACAATATAACAAACAGTCCCTCCAGGAATTATCGATCTACTGTCGGGGCCATTATTCGTTAATAACGGCTGTTCTGGCGCGGCACGACCAATAATACTGCGATCAAATGCCGCAAACTCTGGTTCGTATATTAAGTCCGATGTATCGCTTCGTTCGATAAGTGTTTCAAAGTCGAAGACTAAGTTGGGCGATGAAAGTGTAGCTTCAGTCTTTGCAGGAGCGCAGAACATCAAGCTCAACGCTAGAACTGATAGATACGTGATTATCGACGAGGGCGGTCTTGGTATGGACGAATTGGGTATCATGATGGTGGCCTTTCCCTCCAGGGGCTTTTGCCTGTCCGTTGAGTTCGAGCTTGGTTTATCGACGCGCAATCAGCAAATGAACGTAAGGTTTTCTTCGCATGTGGTCGTTATTGACTCGGAGTTATCATCGTGAGCTCTCCAAAGATCGAAACATGGAGAGCACTAGTTATCGTGGTGAAAAGATGGAAAATACGAAACAAATTGAATGGTTCAGCCCACGATAAGATGCTACTTGTTACGGCTGACAAGCATGTGCCGTCCAACTTGTTGATGCGCAAGGGGAAGTGAGGCGCAGTCAGAGTAACCGTTAATTCTGGAACAGCACAGCCACAGGCACACTCAGCTCTAACAATGGAATCGGGTCGGATCTTTTTGAGTCTGGGCTGGGCGAACGGGTACAAAGCTCGGGCCACTAAAAAAAGGGTTCTGTGGCCACTACTTAATACCACTACGTCAAGTGTAGGTCAAGTCAGGTCAGATCGGATAAGATTGGATCGTAGACCAACAAGCTTGGAGCTTGGCCACCAGTGATAAGTTGACGATTAGTGACATAGCAATATATTGACATTCTGAGACAACTGAGCAACTGAGCACGCGACAGTTGCAGCTGGATGTTGATAGAACAAAATCCCCGAAACCATAGTGTTCAATTGCAGAACCATAGATGTGGGGTAAGCAAACGGTATAGCAACAATACGTGTTCTCATAAAGCTCCATAAAGAGCATCTCTCAAAGCAAAGCAAGATATTTCTAGTGCATTCATTCATCACACAAAGTCATCCACACGACACGAGTCTTTCCGAACAACCCTGCAGTCCAATACAGCTTCTCTAGCTGATATAAATCCTAACCCTGTCCAGTCCTCCTCCTGGTTCCCTCCAATTTGCGTAGCGTAGTTTTGAAGCTGAGTAGTTCCTATAAATAACCATTTCCTGTTCCTCTAGTACCGAGATTGCTTGATCCGGGGCATGCGACAATTCGCAAGAGTTAGTTTGGCGATCAAGCTAAATCTTGGAGACCGTTTACTCGGTCTTGTCGAGGCCGTCAGCCTTGGCACGGAGGCCAGAGGCAGTAGAGCCGGTCTGCTGGAAGTATCGGCCGAGGGTAGGGGCCAGGAAAGATCGGAAGATGAGCTCAGCACCCCTACAATTTCTGTCAGTATTTGAAGCAAATCCTCCGGATAGCGGGGCAGCAAGACCCGCATCAACTTACCGGAAGGCAGGGAGAGAGAGCCAGAGGAGGAAGATAAACTTGAAGACAAAGTAGAAGGGGAACCAGTAGACGACCTGGACGAAGCTCTCAATCACGGTGAAAAGAGAGAATACGACCCAATACTGTGAAACTAGTCAGCGACCGCTTGTGATCGTAGGAAGCCTCGGCAAAGGCCGGAATCAGCTCCGATGGTAGGGGAAAAGGCCACGTACAGTCAACCACTGAGTATCATCCTCCTTGTTGTGGGTGAAGAGAGCACCAAGAGAGTAGTAGCCAGGGATGACGAAACCAGCCAGGTTGGTCAGAAGCTGGCCTCCGAGGTTGAAAATAATGAGGAAGAAGTAGAGAGCGCCGAGACCGATGGCGGCATAGGCCTTGGGAACACCAGCCTGCTTCTCGAGGTTGTTGAGGGCGGGGTACTTGGAGAGCTATACGGATGGCATCACTGTCAGCATTTTGCAAGGTAACGTTGCGCAATTTGTGCTCGACTGCAATGCGGCGGCTATAATCGCAGGGTGAGGGGATATGCGTACCTCGCGGTCGAGCTGACCAAGGTATTGCTGAGCCTTATCTTGGGCGGACATTGTTGGTTTTGGTTGGTTTTGTGTATGTGTGGTTTTGTCAAAGAAGTTGTGATGCTGTGAGAGAGTTGAAAAAAAGGTGTTGGAGGGGCTGGTTGTGTGGTGTATTGAAATAGCTAACTTAGCGTCCAATACGTAAGAGGAGTTGAATGGGCTGGAAGAGGGCAGCTTTTATCGCGGCGCTAGCTGCAGCTGAGATGGGGGGAAGATATGGAACCCAATCACTGAGGTACAGGGCCTAGCGAATCTTGGAAGCAGGAAGAAAATTGACGCGGAGACAATCAGT